TACACTCAGCTGCATGGGACTGGGGTCTTCGCAAGGCTGGTTTCAATTGATGTTGCCTGTTCCATGCCCCGCTCGCAAGATGTCCTGAGATCGCTTCAAGATGGCTCCCTGAGCCCCCAGGATTGCACAAGACGGCCCCAAGGTGGCCCAAAAAAGGCCAAGGATGGCCCAACAAGGCCCAAATATTCCTTCAAGATTGATCCCAGAAACATCAAGATAGCCGCAATAATGCCCAAGATGGTACGAAGATGGCCCCAGAGGCACCACGATGCCTCCGAGAGGCCCCACGATGGCCCAAAAAACTGGTCTATCATGGCCAGAAGGCGGCTCGTCAACCTGGGGACCGGAGGTAGAGTTAGGTCGGGCATGTCCTCCAACAGGCGGATTTTGGACGAAAACTAAATAATAATCCAAAAAACACTTGTTTACACAAAAACAACATATATATATATAGAGAGAGATATAGATATATAACATGTTCGAAATGTTGCTTTACTATGTTAGACTTTTCCTCCTGTAGAAGGACGTGCCCGACTGAAAGGTAGAGGCACAGTCCTTCAGAAAGAAAGGCCCGCCACCCAGGAGGGGCCTGCTGCCCAGGTGGAGGAGAAAGTAATTGCCAGGGGAACAGCAGGAGTGGAAGGGGAAGGGGGCTATAAATTCCTCCTCGTCCTCATCCTGATCCTCACTCCCTTCTCCTCCTCCTCCTCCTCCTCCTCCTCCTCCTCCTCCCTCCTCCTCCTCCTCCTCCTCCTCCTCCTCCTCCTCCCCTGCCCCTCTTCCTCCTCCTCCTCCCTCCGCCCTCCTCCTCCTCCACCCTCCTCCTCCTCCTCCTCCTCCTCCTCCTCCTCCTCCTCCTCCTCCTCCTCCTCCCTCCCTCCCTCCGCCCGCCCGCCCGCCCGCCCGCCCTCCCTCCCTCCCTCCCTCCCTCCCTCCGTCCCTCCCTTCGTAATCTCCCTCCTCCCCCCCTCCTCCCTCCCTCCCTCCCTAATGTATCCTCCTCCTCCTCCTCCTCCTCCTCCTCCTCCTCCTCCTCCCTCCTCCTCCTCCTCCTCCTCCTCCTCCTCCTTCCTCCCCTCCTCTTCCTCCTCCTCCTCCTCCTCCTCCTCCTCCGCCCTCCTCCTCCTCCTCCTCCTCCCTCCTCCTCCTCCTCCTCCTCCTCCTCCTCCCTCCTCCTCCTCCTCCTCCTCCTCCTCCTCCTCCTCCTCCTCCTCCTCCTGAGGCCGCGACCGGGCGGTGGGCGCGCGCGCGCTCGCGAGGGGGGGGGATAGCGCGCGCGAAGAGGGGGCGACTGGCCTCTGCACCGCGGGCGGGGCCGAGTTCGCGCTGAAGCCGGACACCTCGCTGGCCTCGGGAGCGCGCGAGCGCGCGCCTTTTTGGCGGGCGCCCTGGCGAGTCGGGCAAGAGCTCTGGCCCCCCCCCCCCTCCTCCTCCTCCTCCTCCTCCTCCTCCTCCTCCTCCTCCTCCTCCTCAGCATCAGCATCACATCATGTTCATGATCATCATCATCATCATCATCATCATCATCATCATCATCATCATCATCATCATCAGCAGCAGCAGCATCATCATCATCATCATCATCATCATCATCATCGTCATCCTCATCCTCACCATCATCATCATCATCATCAGCATCATCATCATCATCATCATCATCATCATCATCATCATCATCATCATCATCATCATCATCAGCATCATCATCATCATCAGCAGCAGCAGCATCCTCATCATCAGCATCGTCATCGATCATCCTCATCATCAGCAGCATCAGAATCAGCATCAGCATCAGCATCATCATCATCAGCATCATCAGCAGCATCATCATCATCGTCGTCGTCGCCGTCATCTTCATGGTCATCGGCATCATCATCATCATCGTCATCATCACCATCACCATCATCAGCAGCAACAGCATCATCGCCATCATCAGCATCATCGTCGTCAACGTAGTCATCGCCATCGTCGTCATGATCGTCATTACCATCATCATCATCATCATCATCATCGTCATCATCATCATCATCATCAGCATCATCATCATCATCAGCATCATCATTACCATCATCATCATCATCATCATCATGATCATCATCATCATCAGATGCATCATCATTAGCATCCACATCATCAGCAGCAGCTAGGCAATCAGTATCAGAATGATCACCATCATCATCATCATCATCAGCAGCATCCTCATCCTCATCATCATCATCATCAGCAGCAGCATCATCATGATCGTCATCAGCATCATTAGCATCATCATCAGCATCATCAATACCATCGTCATCACCAGCATCAGCATAATTAGCTCCATCAGCATCATCATCATCATCAGTATCATCAGCATCCTCGTCATCGTCATCGGCATCGTCATCACCAACAACGACTGCAACAACAACAGCTGCGGCAACAACAACGATAACCACAACCTCCTCATACGCATCATCATCATAAACAGCGTCATCATCAGCATGAGCATCATAATCGTCATCATCATCAGATCTACCAGCAGCAGCAACGACATCATCGACGTCACCATCATAACCACCACTACCACCACCACCTTCATCATGATCATCATCAGCATCATCAGTTTCACCGTCATCATCAACAGCAGCAGCATCGTCACAATCATCATAATTAGAGCACGTATCATCGCCATCATGGTAATCATCAGCATCAATATCATCATCGGCAGCTGAATCATGATCGTCAGCAGCATCAGCATCATCATGGTCGTCATCAGCATCGTCGTCATCGTCGTGTTTATACCAGCAGCAGCATCATCAGCAGCATCATCCATCCTCATCACCAGCATCATCATACTCGTCATCATCAGCATCACGATCAGCATCATCAGCATCAGCATTATCATCATCAACATCAGCATCTTCATCATCGTCATCATCAATATCAGCATCGGTATCCTCCTCATGCTCCTCCTCCGCATCCTCCTCCTGTTCCTGCTCCTGCTGTTGTTGCTGCTCTGCTCCTCCTCCTCCTGCTCCTGCTCCTGCTCCTGCTCCTTCTCCTCCTCCTCCTCTTCCTCCTCCTTCTCCTCCTCCTCCTCATCCTCGTTCTCCCTCCGCCTCCTCCTCTTGCTCCTCTTCCTCCTTAGAACGCTCCTCCTCCTCCTCCTCCGCCTCGTCCTCCTTCTCTGCTCTGCTCCTCCTCCTCCCCTCCTCCCCATCCCCCTCCACATCCTCCTTATCCTCCTAGTCCTCCTCCTCCTCCTCCTCGTCACCATCATCATCATCATCATCATCATCATCAGCATCATCATCATCATCATCATCATCATCATCATCAGCATCATCATCATCATCATCATCATCATCATCATCATCATCATCATCATCATCGTCATCATCATCATCATCATCATCATCATCATCATCATCGTCATCATCATCATCATCATCATCATCATCATCAGCAGCAGCATCAGCATCAGCATCAGCATCAGCATCAGCATCATCAGCATCAGCATCAGCATCAGCATCAGCAGCATCATCAATACCATCATCATCATCAGCATCGGCATCATCACCACCAGCATCATAGTCAGCATCAGCATCATCATCATCATCCTCATCATCATCATCACCAGCACAACCATCATGCTCATCATCATCATCATCGTCATCATCAGCAGCAGCACAATCATTACCATCATCATCATCATCATCATCATCATCATCATCAGCAGCAGCAGCATCATCAGTATCATCAGCATCATCAGCATCATCATCATCAGCATCAGCATACTCATCCTCATCCTCATCCTCATCATCAGCATCCTCATCATCAGCAGCAGCAGCATCCGCATAAGCATCAGCATCATCAGCGGCAGCAGCATCCGCATCAGCATCAGCATCATCAGCATCTGCCTCAGCATCATCATCACTACCATCATCAGCATTATCAACATCGTCATCATCATCAGCATCATCATCGATATCATCATCAGATTCATTATAATCATCATTATCAGCAGCAGCAGGGTCATCATCATCATCATCATCAGCATCATCTGCATCATCATCAACATCATCATCAGCGTAGTTGTCATCATCATCATCATCATCATCATCATCATCACCAACACCACCATCATCATCAGCATCATCAGCATCATCATCGACATCATCAGCATCATCAGCATCATCATCAGCATCATCAGTACCATCATCAACATCATCATCGGTATCATCATCATCATCGTCATCACCTTCAGCATCATCATCGTCATCATCATCAGCATCATCATCATCTCATCGTCGTCATCAGGCTCCTCATGCTCCTCATGCTCCCGCTCTGTTCCTGCTCCTCCACCGCCTCCTCCTCATCCTCCTTCTCCTCCTCCTCATCAGTGTCCTCATTATCATCGTCCTCCTCCTCCTCATCATCAACATGCTCCTCCTCATGCTCCTCCTCTGGGCTCATTCGGATCGAAGCACCGCCTACGTCATAGAGAGAGGGTGCCCTGCGCGCAGTCGTCCGTCCAGGAGTAGTCTCTCCAGGGAACGCGCTTGGGAGCCACGCTGGGTGGGGGTGGCGACGTTGGGGTGTCACGCTGTCGGACCGGAAGGGCCACTCTTGGGGACAACACTGGGAGCCACGCTGAAAGGCCACGGGAGGCCAGGCTGGGGGGCCACGCTGGGAGGCCACGCTGGGAGCCACGCTGGGGGTCGCGCTGGGGGGGGTCCACGCTGGGGGGCCGCGCCGGGGAGGCAGGGGCCCTCGCAGACGGGGGCGGTGGGTGTCCACAGCGGTTTGGGCACACCTACCCCTCCGGGTGTGCGCGCACGCTGCACTCCCTCTCTCTCTATCACCCGCAGCTGCGCGGGACTAGGTAAGCAGCATTCGGGGCATCCTGTGCATCACCACATGCGGGAGAGGGGGAGGAGGGGGAGGGGAAGGGAGAGGAGGAGGAGGAGGAGGAGGAGGAGGAGGAGGAGGACGACGACGACGACGACGACGAGCAGGGTGCC